TCTTTCCAAGATAAATTATCTTGGAATTCCGTCTTTCCAAGATAAATTATCTCGGAAATCCGTCTTTCCGAGATAAATTATCTCGGAAAGACGTCCTAATAAATACTTATTCCATGTTTCCATGATAATTATCTTGGAAACTCGGAAACGCGGAAGGTCACTTTAAGCTTCCGTAATACAGCCATTTTGTTTTGTCGAGTACAGATACAAGTTTTCTATTCGACTGGTGGTCTTCGTTGAGTAGGATTTTACCGCTGCGCATGTGGGCGTGGTTTAACGAAGAACGACAAGTCGAATACGGCCAATGATAGCAAGGAATTTTGTCATCTTAAAGATAAGGCGAATTTAAGATGTTTTTAACTGGCATTATTAATAAATCTGACTTAAGCAAAAAACTTGAAATGAATTTAAGCTGATTTTAGTTTGATATGATAAATATTGCCCCAAAAGTCTAACTTACAAAGAGAAAATATTTTTTCACTAATTAACTTACAGAAGAATAATTACTAAACTTTCTATAAAATATATGCCTAGGCCTAAGTTAATAAATTAGGGATTATCTATTATTTTTTTCATTATTTCAAGAGAGTTCTGTACTCTTTGATCCCACAAATGATAATAAATATGATGATTGTCTTTATGAGGTCATAATTTTGCCATTTTAATATAAAATTACACTACCCCTCCCCACACCACCAGCAGCGTATCGTGTTGTACTCCTGTGGAAATTATACACAAAAAATGAATGACACACCCCCTTCCCTTTTTAGCTGGTAATCAATTTCGATTTAAAAATTTGAAAAGAAATAAAGAACTGGATTGATGTTTTTATTGAGTACTAGTCTAACTCATGATTGCATTCAAATTTATTTCGATCTTTTTCAAAAAAGAAAAAAAAAAGAGAGAGAGAAAGAAATAAAGAAAATGTAATATTCAGTATGCATTCAATCTTAGGCTATATGCATCCCTTACCGATACTAACTGGATCTACCTGGATCTATCTCGGGATCTACCTACCTGGATACAGACGTGAAGCTCACGAGATACAGTGTACTGCATAGGGTCATTCAAGATTTGCGCTCGTACGCGCCCATTGCACCCCACCCCCGGTAGAAGTTCCAGCCGCAGATCAGGACCTACTGTACTCCCCCAAAATAAGTTTTGTTTTTGTATGGATAAGCTCTTAATAAATGGCAGATGTCTAACCGTACTGCGGCTGGTTTGCAGTTCGGCGGTAAGAATATTTTTTTATATGTATTGAAAATATTTTGAATAAAATAAATAAAATAGTTAGTTAGGCCTATGAATAATATCAACATTATAATCAGGTTATCATCATCATCATCGTCCATCGTCGTCATCATCATCATCATTATTATACCCTATTATTATACCTTATTATTATTATTATTATTATTATTATTATTATTATTATTATTATTATTATTGTTAGTTAATATTATTATAATTATTATTATCACAGTATTATTATTATTATTATTATTATTATTATTATTATTATTATTATTATTAATATTATTATTACAGTATTATTATTATTATTATTATTATTATTATTATTATTATCATATCATCATCATTATCGCCATCATATGTTTTGAAACGTGCTAAAAATCACTGTTGCTATAGCGGTGAATAGATTCTCGATCTGCATTTGCAGCGTCATTAGTTTGTTATTGCATATATACAATGGATATAAAAATAGTATAAATACATTGTTCATCAATTCAGAGTTAATAAAATTTCGAACACGTGAACAATTGATGTTTTCACTGAGTCTGTACTTACTTCCTGGATAATGTCAACAAATGATCATAAATATAGCGAGCAGTTGCTATGGTGATGTGTAAACACGACTTGTAGTTGGTGGTTGCTGCGTTGTTGGTTGTGGAGAGATGTAATGGCGGTGCCTGCTGGCGTAAAACTAGATGAAGGCACTGGTTATTTCGTCGGAAACTGTTTTCCTGTTAGGACAATATTAAAGGGAGTGGATGAAGGTAAGTAAGCCGTTTTCTTAGTATCTTATTTTGATATTCGTATTGAAATAATCTAATGAAAATATAGAAAAAATAAAGAATACATCAGGCCTAGGTTAAGTTAAGTAGGCCTAGCCAAGCGTAGTTAGGGCCTAAACTAGCCTAGCCTCGGCCAGGCCATGTCACTCGCTCAGTGTACAAAAAAACAAAGTAGAATGCTACGCTCTGTTTAGGGCTGGCCTTGTTTGGCATACAACAAGTTAGGTAACTACTAAAACTATTTCTAGGGTTGGCCGACTATGCACGTTAATGATGCCTGTATAACGATCCAATATCATTATAGGCCTATTCTATGCGTTGATAGGTGATGAATTGAATATATTAATTATTGATTGATGTAGAGTGTTGTTGAGACTGTAGATAGGCCTATTGTTTGGCAACTTGATATTCGAAAGATCGTCATCAGAGAACAGAAAAAAAAAATATGTAAGGTCTAGGCCTTATTTGTCAATGGTTCTGCAAACAATCTGGGTGGAGGAAATAATTAAAATATAATGTTATTGACGATCAAAAAGAATGTGAGTGTGGGTGATAAGAATGTGAAAAAGGACACCATCATAGATGATTATCAGTAAAGAGTGCGATAATAAAATTTAAACAATTCAGCAATTGGATTGATAAATGCTGTATAAGGTCAAGGCCTATGTACATGTATATTTATTTAATTGTGAGGAAGAAATACAGAATTCTTTAGGAAATTCTCGACTGCAGCAGGCCTTGATAAGGCCACGTAAAATAAAACAATTGGTTAGCATCCCCGCCCGACCGTCGGAAAAGCCCCCGACCTGAATTAAAAAAAATTTTTTTTTTTTACAAAACACTCAAAAACTCCATCTCCCGAAGGCAATTTATATAGGCCTAGGCTTGTTTACCATCCGTCCGAACGCCAGCAGACTGGGCTTATCCCTGCAGTTCCATTCCGTCATCGTCCCGTCTAGGCCTAGGTTAGTCTAGTCCTTGCTTCTATCAAGAAAAGGCCTAGTTTTATAGTAGTAGTATAAAAAAAATGTATTTGTATACACGGTACAGCCGATGCAAAGCATTAATATTTACTCGGGATTAGGTTTATATTAGCAAACTAAACTCCGATCCGATGCTTACGTCTCATGCTTTGTGCAGAAAAGTCGGCCAATCAGCGCGTTGGTATTTCCATCACTTTGGAAGTAGACATCCACAGCGCGAAAGAGAAACAAGGAGGAACCACTCTGTGGTGACGGAGACAAGACAACAAACATGGCTGCGCCCATCAGTTTAAAACTGTGGCATGTTCACTTCTTACCTGTGTGCAATATTTCACGAAATAAAATTTTAAAGATAAATTTTCATAGGTAGGACAGCATAGATAAATTTATTACTTGAAATATAGTGGCGAGAGAGTGCATGCGTATTATTAGCGAGCGAGCCGTCCGGCCGTCTTTTGGACTGCCTACAATTATTTAGGACGGCAACTTTTACCGTGACGGCTTGGCCTAATCAGCTCGA